AATATTTAAAATTATTATAAATAATTTTAATTATTAAATAAAATTGCAGGCAAATTTGCCTGCAAAACGCTTGAAGGTAACGAACTTTGAACGCGAATATCTCAATATCCACCAGTCTGCTACCTTTCATACTTAATATGCAAGTTCAGTAGGTTATGCTCTTTCAAACAAGATCAAAAACGTCCAGGGATACTTATTAAAAAAAATATATTAATGAAAATAAATTTTAAATATTTTAAAATTTAATAATGAAATGAGTTAAACATAATATATAAATTAATTGTTACACTATTGATTTTAAAACTTCTTTATAATATTTTTTCATATATGTTATAAAATCTGAAAAAATAATCTTGATAATAAATAGAAAATATTTAAATAGTTAAAAATATTTCTTTATTATTGAATTATTGATATGATTCAAAAAGTTAAATGATACAAATTTTATATTTTGATAAAAGAAAAAGAATATTTACAATACTTCTTAAACAATAATCTGTAATTTCATTTATTATTATTACTACAGGTTTTGATTAAAATAATTTAAAATAAAGAAAACATTTATCAAAAATATTAGATAAATATATTTAACAGAAAGTAGAAACTTAAGAAATTACACTTTCTTCTAAAGAGTTTTTTTAAAAAAAAAAAGTTGATTTACTTTTTCAAAAGGATATTATTAAATTATCTATAATTTCTCTTTTAAATTAAAGTGCATTATTAATTGTAGAAGTAGTGATTTATTTTTTTATTTATAATTTTATAATTTTTTTTTAATGTCTTTTTAAAAAATAATATTTACAGTAGATTTTGATTTCTATTTAACTAAAAAGTCATAAAAAATTATAAAACATAATACTTTTATCCTCTTTAAAAATATTAGAATATTTATTAATATGAGTATTTATGAATACTTTTTTTTATATATTATTATATTTACTAGTTCTAATTTAATTTGTTAAATAAATATAAAACACAAATTTTGATTTATAAATCAAAACTTAATCTTATAAAAATTATGTAATTTTATAATTTTTATTATGAAAATTTTAGAATTTTTAAATTTTATGATATTATACAGTGATTAAAATGAAAGTTGTAGTTAGATATATTTAAGAAAATTTTGCAGTATTCTGTAAATTACAGAAAATTATTATCATTTTAAAATTATATAACTTATAAAAATATTTGTTACATTATGTCATACCTTTATTTTTAAGAAATTTAGAAGTTTTTTAATATTTAATTCCTTATTTGTCACATATTATTTATCACTAGATTTATCACTTAATGCTATAATTTTAATTAAAAATTTGTGATTAAATATAGTTTTAACTATAGCAATATTTGAAGAAAGTAAAAATGAATTAAAAGATATTAAGAATAGATTAGATAGGATAAAAAAGATGTGAAAGTATTTGAAAAGAAGAAGAAATAATAATGATTAAAAAAATTGAAAAGAAAGAGAAAAGAGTTTGATAAAAAAGATAAGTAGAAAAAGATAGGATTAAAAGAAGAAAAGGATAAAGGCAAAGTAAAAGAAATAAGTGTAAAAACTGTAAGATAAATTAATTATTTTTTATCTAAGTAATAATTTTGTGATTTAAGTATTTAAAAATAAAATAGTATATAGGGTAGAATAGATAATAGTAATACAGGTTTCTTATATTATGAATTTATTAAGATAATATTATTATATTTAAAGTTGTAACTCTATACTGATATAGTTTTCTTTATTATGAGTTTATCAGGTAAATATTATTATAAATATATATAATTTTACTTTCTATATTACTTTTTATCTTTATTTATTCTGTTATAATTCTTAAATCATAGATCAAACTATTTATCTTGAAAGTTTCTTAATAACTTTTAAGTTTTAAACTATTATATAAGATATATATAATTTGAAAGAATATATCATTCTTATCTATTAAAATACATCAGTTTGGTATAATTTACAATGATATTTTATTAATGAATATATCAGTATCTTAAGTTGTTTTAATAATGATGATAATAGTATAATTGATCTCGCTTATAAAAGTATAAATAAGGAACCTGCAGATATTATCTTGATTGATTTAATATTAATTATTATAATATTTATAAGCAAAAAAGAATTTGATACATATTTTTAATGTAAAATATTATATAAGATTTATGATTTATAAACTTATGCAAATTTTATATTATAAGGTTATATAATATTTATGTTTTTAATGTAATATTTTATACTATTACTAATCATAATATTTGTGAAGAACTACAATCATAATATTTCATACTATTTACTAATTATAATATTTGCAAAAAATTATGGGTATAATACTTTACACTATTTATTAATTATAATATTTATGAAAAACTATAGATGTAATACTTTAACTATTTATTAATCATAATATTTGCGAAATACTTCTAGTCAAAGTATTTTGAATGTTTACATTCTATAATATTTACATAAAATTATAAGTATAGTACTTCATATAATTTAGTGATTATAATATTTGTAAAATACTATAATCAAAGAATATTACAAGTTTTATAGTTTGTAAAGTTTATAAAATACTATAAATAAAGTTTGTCACAAAGTTTACAGTTTATAATATTTATGTAATATTAAAGTTAAAGTATTTCACAAGATATATAGTAATTATAATATTGAGCAAATCATTAATTTTTTATATTTAAAACTTATGTAATTTGATAATTTATATCAGATTTTTGTATTTTATTTATCAAAATTTTCTTAACTTCAGGATGTAATCTCATGTTAGTTAAAATATTAATCATTAAATATTTTTTTTTCATATATTTTAAATCTATATTTTAATAAAATATTTGCATATATTAGAAGTTTTTATATATCAAAATAAAGATTAAAAATTGAATACAAAGTCAAGTTTATTAAGTAGTATTAAAAAGTAAATATTAGATTTTAAACTTACTTTTTTCATCTTTGGTAGTGATGATGGTCTTAAAAAAGTACTATAGAACTATTTTCTGTTTACTACTTGAACTAATTTAATACACATAATATAATAATGATAGATAAACATATAAAATATTCTATAATTATAAAAATATGTTAATTTTTAACAAGTAAAATGAAATTTAAATGAAATTTATTATTTACAAATCCTTATTGTCAATAATATTTTTGACAAAATTAAATATAATTCTCTTATTATTGGTTAAATTAGAAATTTAATAGTTTGTAAATTATAAATTTTAATTAAATTATATTTTTGATTCTACTTAATATTAAACTAAAATTTATTAACTTGATCTAGATTTTTAAAATTAAGTTAAATTAGATAATAGATTAACTTGATTTAATTTAAAGCTCTAGTTATAAATATGATTACTTAAAAAAAATTCTAAAAAAAAGTTTGTTAAATTATATAAAGCATTTTAGATTTAAATAAAATATATTTTTAATGATCTAACTAAAAGCAATTGATAGTAAAGATATATAATATTTAAAAAAATGCATAATAAAAGAATATTTTATTACTAAAATTACTATATATTTTTTTCATCAGAAAATATATCTTAATTAATATTAGAATTAAATCTTATTCAATTTCTAATAATAAACTATTAAATTTTAGACCTAATATTTAATCCAATTCCAATTTCAAATAGACTATAATTATATAATTTTAGTCAATTATAATTTTATATACTATAATTCTAACTAAATTTATAATACTAATCTAATTTATAAATTAAATAATTTTAAAAAACACAAATTGATTTTTAAATTATATGACAAAAAATTTAAATTTAAAATTTTTTTACTAAATAAATTCATTTTAACATAAAATTTATTCAAAAACTTAATTTTTATTTAATACATTTAACATAGCACATATGACCTCATAAAATCTATCTAAAATTATGATAATTCAGGATTAGAGCTCTAAACAGTTTAATTTATCTGGTTAATCTAATCTGATATTTTTTTCAGTTTAGATCATGTCAAATAATCTAAAAATTCAGGTTAGGTCAGTAAAATCATTCTAATTAAATGATAATACATTCAAGAAAAATGATAATATGTCTTTCTTTTTGAATGATACATTATCATTCATTCATTATCATTCAATTAAAACGATATATGATCATTCTCTTGATTTATCATCATTCTAGTTAGATGATATATTATTATAAAAAAATTTCTCTGTTCCAGGACAAATTTCCTAACCCCCTTAACTAATCCTAATTTCTACCTAATCCTAATCCAAACCCTAACTTTAATACTAACCTATAGTAATAAATACCATTTTTTTTCCGGGCGACGCTATGTAAGTCAGTGAAACAGGTTATTACACTTTATTTAATATATTTCATGATTTTATTTATTAATATAATATAGACAAAGACAAGACGAAGCTTTGGACGCGTCATGGTAATTTCTCACTTTTTAGTTGCTCTTTCAACTTTACATGTAACACAAATACATTTTGAATTATCCCTTGCATTATGTATCTGCCAACATTGAACACAAAATCTTCTGAATAGCGGTAATTCTTGATATATTATGCTGTTGATTTGATCATCAAGAATTTTATCCTGTCTCTTAGGATATTTCATGTTTTCAATTATAGGTTGTAAAAATAATGAAGAGGAAGGTGAAATGAATAGACGACAAGATTCACATAAAAATCCTTGTTTAATAAAATTGATAATTATATCTGGAACAATTTGTTGTTGAATATTTATGAAAACTTTTAATTTTCTTCGTTTAAGAGGGATCTTTTTAAGAATAATTGCTTGTGCACAAATATCCATTAATCGAGGTACATCTTCACGATATATATTTTTAACATTTTGAAATTTATGAAGGTTTGATTTCAAAAGAGGATTGTTTTTAACTCCCAATATTACAGTGTTTCGGGATACCTTTGTGATATATGGTGGAAAATATTGAAAGAGGTTGTGACCAATACAGAGAACTTTTAAATGCCGAAAAAGAAGAATCTCATAAGGGAAATCTTTTTTTTTAATTTTAAAAAGAAAAAGAAAAAGGTCAATAATTAAAATTTATACAATAAGGAAAGAAAATAGAAAATATAAATGTAATACCTCGTAACCTATTCCTCGACAGATCCAAAATAGTCAAAAAATCAAGATCAAATGAAACACAATTTACAGTCCTTAAAAATGACTTATAATAATAAATCATATTAATAATATTTTTCAAATATTTTGAGCACTCGTGAAGATTTAGATTTCTTAACGAAAGGAAATAATGTGGTGGAATCGTTAAATACTTTTCTACAGCATCTACGAGTCTAACGTTAGAAGATGAAATTGTGATGGGTGGAGGGGTTTTTTGATATTCTAAAATGATAGAGTTTAATGACCTTATTAAGTGTTGAGACCTTTGTTGAGTAGCATTACATGCTTTTGCTTCTCCAGATTTCAAGTTTTTCCTGTATTTTTTATCAACGGGGTGTTTTTTAAAAAATTCATCAAGTTCAAGGAGAAAACGCGCTTCATAAAAATATAAAAAAATCGATATCAAAATAAAAAAAACAAAAAACAAAAAATAAAAATAAAAAATAAAGAAATAGACTATAGATAAATTATTTACCAAGAATTGGAGTGAATAAACCAAGTGGGTTGGTATTATTTGACCTGAATGCTTTCTCAAGTTTTTGAATTGCTGTAATAATTTATTAGTAAGAATAAAATGCACGACTAAAATTATTTGAAATAATAATAATTTACCTGCTAACAGGTTCGACCATTCAGAAGACAACATAGCTTTCTTTGCATTCAAGACCAAATTCATCCATTTTTCATACTTTTTATTACGGGGAGAACGAGCATTAACTGCTTTTATATTACTTTCCAATATATAGTGTTCGAGCTCAGTTGAACTAGTTTCATCTTCCGAACTTGGATAAATAGAATCTGAAGACGAACTGTCATCATTCTTTTCGAAAATTACATGAGAGTTTGCTGACATGACCTTGAATTTTAAATGTAATAAGGTATTTAAATTAATTCTCAGAATTTTAATAAATTACCAATAAATAAATTACCAAATAAATAGCCGATTTAAGCTGATTGGATGATAAATAAAATATCTAAAGATATCATAAATCATAAAACGCATTTTTTTTTTTTATAAAAAATGTTCGATGAAACACCAATCTCGGATCTTACAGCAATCGTTTTTACACGTTCGCCTCCTTCACTAAAAGTTTTGAATCAACTTTTACTTCCACATAAAACAATATATGAAACGGTATCGAATGTAAAAGAAGGTTATGAACAAATCAAAGAAATGAAAGTTCGTGGTGCACCGGCTATAGGAATAGTTGCAGCTTTATCATTAGCAATAGATCTTCTTTTACAAAGCTCGAATCAAACCAATTTAATTTTTAAAGATCAAGAAACTTTAAAGAGTTATATTAAAGCTTCGCTTGAATATTTGAAAACTTCTCGACCGACAGCAGTTAATTTATTTCGCGCATCGGATATTTTATGGAACATCACAGAGAAAGAAACAGATGTTAACATGATAATAGAGAGAATAATTGAAGAAGCTGAAAGAATGTTGATTGATGATGTACAAGATAACAAAAATATTGGAAATTTTGGAGCAGAATTTATTTTGAAAGAAAATCAAGATAAAAAGATTGGTGTAGTAACTCATTGTAATACTGGGTAAGTGAATAAGGATAAAATATACATAAAAATAGTTCAAGATTGAAAATTATTGTGTTTATTATTAATAGATCTTTAGCAACAGCAGGATATGGAACAGCACTTGGAATTATTCGATCTTTATACTTTCAAAATAGACTTTCTCATGCTTATTTCACAGAAACTCGTCCGTATAATCAAGGGGCCAGATTGACCGCTTATGAATTAATTCACGATAAGATTCCAAGTACTTTGATCTGTGATTCAATGGTTTCTGCTCTCCTTTCTTTAAGTGATAATAATAATAATATTAAAGCTATAATTGTTGGAGCTGATAGGGTAGCCTCGAATGGTGATACTGCAAATAAGATCGGTACTTACCAATTGGCGATCACCGCGAATTATCATAACATCATGTTTATAGTCGCTGCTCCAAGTACTAGTATTGATCTTAATATTAAAAGTGGAAAGGAGATAATTATTGAAGAAAGAGCTGAAGATGAAGTTACAAATGTAACTGGAATTGTTAAAAATATTAATGGTGGAGAGTTAAAATCTACAAAAGTAAGATTGCCTCCGGAAGGTGTTAAAGTTTGGAATCCAAGTTTTGACGTTACACCTGCAAAGTTAATTACTGCTATAGTTACTGAAAAAGGTGTCATTACCAAAAAAGATGGAACGAATGAGTTTAATTTATTTGATTTCTTAACGTAAAATCATAAATGACTTATGTTTGCATATGCATTCGTTTGGGGGCCACTCTATGTTATGTACAAACATAATGAAGTTGAATAAAAATAAATTAAGCTAATTTTCGACTTGAAGCAGAAACTTGTCCCAATCGATTGAAAACTTCTTTTGTGCCTCCAAAAAATGTAGTTCTATGATAAGGTATTTCATATTTTTCACATAAAGTTTGAACAATTGGTTGAACCTTATGAAAGACGTGACGAGGGAGCGCAGGGAAAAGCTGCAAAATAAAAAAAATAAATAAAAAAAATAAATTATATAGTCGTTATACAAACAAATATTAATCATACTTCTTACATGATGTTCAATTTGATAATTTAATCCTCCGCAAAACCAATCTACAACAAATTGTAAATTTGGATTTAAGGCTATTACATCTCTTCCAGTGATAACTTGCTCAACAAAAAAGTCCATTTCGTGAGCCTCCTCTTCTGTGAGGATTGCCATACCATTATGATTCAATGCAAACACCAAAGCCAATAATAAACCACATATTGATTGTGATGCAAAAAAAAATGTGATTATTAATTTCCAACTGCTTATAAAAGAGAAAATGTAAAAGTACCAGACGTAATGTATGCCAAGTGAAAGTTGCTCTGTTAAAGCAATTGGCATACGAGCATTCGCAGGTTTTCCATTTTGACCATTAGGAAGGACAAAATAAATACTTTGAATGCACCATGAAATCCTTGCTAAGCATAAAATTGGGAAATAATTCAAAGTTTGATATTCAACCATAAATCTGGTAAGCCATGGTGGAAGATTATTTGCATTGATTTTAGCCATTTCAGGATTAAATATATCAGAGAGTGCATATTCTGACCAAGTCAAAATTGGATGTGTATTAATATCTGGATCTTGTCCGTGAACATTTGGTGCCGCATGATGAGTGTTATGCTTATCTTTCCACCTTTATAAAATACAAATTTTTTTTTATAAAAAATAAATAAATCAATAAATAAATGGAATTATCACAAATAATTTCATACCAAGATGGATCAAATCCTTGACAAACTCCACCAAGAAAAGCACCCATCAAATCATTATATTTTCTATTATGAAATACTTGATGATGAAGGAAATCATGAGATAACCAGCCACATTGTTGCCAAAATAATCCCATCATTGCAGCTGATAATAGAACACCAAAAAGATTATCCCCAAATTTAGCTAAAATTGTAACCGAAATTGCCCATATGATGAGGTTATGAATTACTTTTTGAGCGTAATATGGTTTTGATGACTCAAAGTAATTACTCCTTTTAAAAAGTTCTTTATATTCTCGTAATTCTTGTGTGAACCCTTCTTTTGAAGTTTTTATGTCTTCCTGGGCAATATCACCTACATAATAATTTGCCAAAATTTCAATTGCCCCCTCGGGATGAAAATTATAAAATGCATCTAAATTGATATACATCACGCGTTAGAACACATGTCAAGTGAATATCACAAATATCACATGATTTACGAATCCTAGACACTTTTCACACCACGTGATCATAGTAAAATATTTGTTCACCCCTCGGGGACAGAGATTTGTTTGAAATTTGTCAAAATCACGTGATGAGAAAGGTGTCGGGTAAATATAAGTACCAGTTGAATCTTTGCCGATGTGGGTCAAAATCACTGCACCACCAGGATGGTCAGACACAAAATCTTTAATGTCATAAACCTTGTTATCAACGATTATATACCAAGGTTGTTGGTCAGAAATTCCTTTTTTTCCAAGCACTTTAATTGGCTTGATAACGTCTACCTTTTTAAAGGTTTTAGGTCCTATTTTTCAATAATGAGAATAATAATGGAATATGATTAAAGGTGTTGTGGATGTATTCGTTACAACTTAAGGATATAATAATATACTAACCATTGATGAGTTCTTCGCGATTTGCGCGAGGAGCCATATTGATAATTCTGACAAAATTATAAATTATTTTTTTTTAGGCAAAAGGCGTTATTTATAACGGCATCTCAACAACTTGCATTCAAAAAATTTTTTGATCGATAGAATAAACAAAGATTGGGGAAATAAACTTAGCTGAAATAAATTGACATATGAAATATTCCAAAAGCAGTAACTTGAATAAGAGAAAAAGGAAGTTTAATTATAAGGAAAAGGCAAATTGCGTGATTGTAATATGTAACGCAATTTTATGTTGGGGTATAAAAACAGTAGTAACTAATTGGTTAGGTGAGTAACGATTAATCGATCGATTAGTTGATATATCAGCTGATCGATTTTAAGTTAACTTAGATCATGTGAAGTTGCATTTTAATAAAAGGCGCATTTTGTTGTTGTATCAGTTTATCATTTAATTTAAATATTTAACTAATATGTCTTCAAATAATTTACAAGTTAAACAATTTTTTGGGATTTATATAGTTTCTGAAAATGAAAAAAAAAATCCTGCAAGCAAACATGCAAAATGTCTTTTGGATTAACTAATAATATGATTAAACTTTTACAAAACTTTTATCATATAACAAAATCAATAAAATCTAAATTAGAATACATAGAATACATCCAAATCATTAAATATGAAATTATATTTAACCTAACAACTTATAAAATTTAATTTTACTATTTTTAATCATTAATAATAAAGAATTTAACATATTTTGTAATTTATTTTTAGATTTTAAAATTTTCTGTAATATATTAATCATGATCAATTAGCATCTAACCTAATTATTATTAATTTAATTGATTAATATTACTATCTATATCTTATATAATTACTTATAATAATGGTAATTAATTGAATTAATAATAATCAAAAAGCTTTAATATATATAATATTTAAATAATATTAATTTTGTAGCAAAAAATTGTAAAGAAAAAGGACTTACATAAGTAAGCAATAAAAAAAAATGAAGAAAAAAGTAAAAAGAATGATGGATTAGTAAATAATCTTGCTTCTAATTATTTGATTTATAGTTAATTATGTAGTATTATAAAAAAAAAATTTGGTTTAATTTAGTTTTTTTAATAAATAATTATAATTTATTTTTAGTTTCTTAACCTTTTTTTTAGATTTTTAACTTTATTATAAATGTCTTTAATTTTATTTTTAGAAATTATACTTTGATATTAATTAATTTTGATGATATTAAAATAATTACATTAATTTGACTTTATTATAAATTATTAATAAATGGAAGACAGTCAATAAAAAAAGGGGAAATCTACAAATTTTGAGTAATTTTAATTATTAAGCTAGTTTTATTCACATGACCATGATCAGTAAAGTGAACTAATAAAAAAATTTTTGACTAAAAAGTGGATTTTTTCCTTTTCTACTGACCGCTTCCTAAATGATTATATCTTTTCAAATACAATTTAATTAGTAATTCATCAATTATCTTTTCAAATATATTGCAAAAAAATTTGCAATTTTATTTAATATTTAAAATTATTTATAATAATTTTAAATATTTTTAAAATAATTTTTTTAAAAATTAATAATTTTATAATAAAATGATATTTTTTAAATAAAAATTCAAAAAAAAATGTAATTTAATTAGTAATATTTTAAAGATAAATATATGGTAAATTATTATGAAAAAAATTAAAATTTTAAATTTATATATTTAGCTATCTATTGATTTCAGAAATATAAAAATATAATTATAAATTTTAATGAGATAAATCTAACAAACTTAATTTATTTTTTCATAATTATTAAATAATAAGTTATTTTAAAAAAAAATTGAAAATTTTCTATAATGTTTTATAATTAATTTTATACATATGCTTTAAGAAATAATAAAAAATTTTCTTTTTATTTTTTTTATATAATATAATTTAAAAATTTTGATCAAATAAAAGTATTTTAAGTTATTTAATAAATTAAAAATTATTTAAATATTAATTTTTATAAAAATTAGTTTAGTATTCCTTTAATAATTATATTTTCTTAATGCTAATTAAAGATAAGTATTATAATTAAAAAAATAGCATAATTAAATTATAATTTGTGATATAATTAAATTTGCTTATTATACAATTAAGTTACAATTCAATTAAAATTTGAAAATAATAATGAGAATTATCTTTAATGTTAATAACATATAAATTTACTTTTTTACAATTTTAATATTTTAATATTTTAATTTAAGAAAATCATTTTTATTTATCTAAATAAAGTATTCAATAAGTTTAAAATTATTTAAATCTCAAGTTTTATCAAAATTAAGCTAATATTTATAAAATAAATAATATAAGCTCTTTATATAAAAAGGAGAAAACTACCAAAATAGTTTTTTTACTTTATAAACTAATATTATTTTTTTAGTAAAATAAGTTTAGATTTAACATTAATTCAAAAATTTTTTTTGATAATTTTCTCTTTTTTTATTACAAAAAATTCATATATAAATTTAATTAAATACTATCCAAAATCTTGAAATCCAAAATCTCAAAAGATCAAAATTTTGAAATCCAAAATACTAAATGATACAAAATCTTAAAATCCAAAATCTCAAATAGTAAAAAATCCCAAATTTTTCTCATATAATTTTATTAAAATTTTTTATTAAAAAGTTATTAAAATCACAATTTATCTAATTAATAGTTTAATATTAATTTATATAATGAATAAAAAAATTTTCAATCAAAGGGAATTTTGCTTATATAAATACATAAAAAAATTTTTTAGCAGGATGATTTTTAAATAATCTAAGTCTCACTTATAATATATATTATTAATTTAAAGTAATTTCTCATAACTTACTTATAACATACTAATTTAAAATAATTCTCATACCCATTTAGAATTTTAAATTTTGAAATTTTGAAATTTGAGATTTCAAACCTTTTAAGATTTAGAGTTTTAAGATTTTGATTTTTTGAGATTTTGGATTTTGAAATTTTGTAATATATCCTTTTAATTAAATATATTAATAATATAGTAATTAATAGAAATATAATAAATTATTACTGAATTCTTATTAAAAAATATATCATAAAAGTTATTTTTTTTGTTAATATTTAAAAA